AACGCTGCTAAACCGCGTTTGCGGAGCGTTAAAAAAACGCTCCGCAAACGCCGGACCAATGCTTGCCAAACGCTATAGGGGCGTTTGGCAAGCGTTGGCAAAACAGCCTAGTGTGAACGAGCCCTTAGAACTCCTCTAAATCTTTTTTGCTATTCTGATGTTTTTTAGGTGAAAATTTATTTCAGGTACTTATATAGCGCCGTCAGTTTATGCAGCACTTTACATATATATTGTACATTCACATCAGTCCCTAACCCTCAAGGGGTGTGCAATCTAAGGTCCCTAACTCACATTCATACATACACATACTAGGGACAATTTAGACAGGATCCAATTCACCTACCAGCGTGTCTCTCTATTTTTTTTGCATGAATAGTTAACAAACAAATTACAAAACAAAAAAATTGCATTACTTTTTCAACTTGTAAGTGTGTGTAGTTTTTTTTTTTTTGTTTTTTATTCATCTTCCAGTTTGTATTGCACAGGTGAGTAGAGGATGATCTCTGTGCTGCCCGGTACTCCAGTAAGGTCACCACTTATGGTATAATTAAAGGAAAGTTCCCACCACATGCTATCCAGCCAGTGGTTTTTTTTTTTTTTTTTTTTTTTTATTCTCCATCCAAAATGTATGGATAGTAGGTTACATGGTTTCCAGTGGCCTAGTTTACATCAGTGCATGCAGCATTTTTTTTTTTTTTTCATGAACTGTACTTGAAGGCATCTAAATCCTTCAGACTGCACACGTCCTTATTTAGGGTCAGTTCACACTATAGAAACGCAGTCCGGATGTGTTTCCACATGTTTTTGTTTTTTTTATGCATTCAAGTTAATTTTTCCCCCCCCCCCTCCTGTTTCTTCAATTGAAATAGGAACATGTGAGTTCTGGTAAATATTTGATGCGTTTTACCCCGTTCCAGTGCAGTTCTGTGCAAAAAAAAATGCAGCGTGGTTTTTTTTTTTTTTTTTTTTTTCTGTAATTGGAACTCTGCAAGCCCTGATGTGAACTGTGACATTGCCAACCGTATAACCTACTTTCTGTGCGTTTTTGGATGCAGAAAGACAATTGAAACGCATGGGGTGTCAACCAGCCCTTAAGGTGAAGGCAGAAAATGCACCGGAACGCATCAAAAATGAGCACGCCGAAATGCTTGCGCACTGTTTGTTTTGTGGTGTATACCAGCCTATAATATAATACACACAAGGGAGCCTATAATATATAAAACACAAGGGTTCATCAGAAGTTTCCATGCTTTTTTTAAAAAAAAAAAAAATATATATATATATATATATATATATATATATATATATATATATATATATATATATATATATATATATATATATATGAGAATGACCTGTTTCTGGTGTATTGGGCAGCACAGAGAATGTCTGCTACTCATCTGTGCACATGGATATCAATACGTGACAAAAATAAACTTCATTATGAAAATACTGCAAATGTCAATTGAAGGAAAAAAAAAAAAAATCTGTAAAGTATGAGGGTTGCACAGGAAGGTCAGTATGGGTTGTGGGGGTGCTATCTTCAAAGCAAATTAAAACAAAAAAAAACAAATTACTGAAAACAAAAAAAACAAATTATGATAATGTACTATATATATATATATATATATATATATATATATATATATATAGCGCTGCGTAAATTGACAGCACTAAAGTACCTGAAATAAATGGGAATAAAGTGATTGGCGTATTTTAATGGCAGGAAAAGCACGCTCATCCTGCAAAGCATTCAACATAGTGAAATGTTAAGAATAATAGAAAAATAAATCTACTTCAGAGACAGATTGCTGCTAATCTTTATTCTTGAGTATACTGAATTCTTTTTCTTTTTTAAATCTCCTAGATTTTTTTATTAGTTTGGTTTAAAGACAAATTACTTTTTTCCTTCTTTGCATGTCATATTTTTCTATTTTCCACAAATAGAAGTATATTTGCATGGTGGACAGAGGATGTCCTCTATGTTCTGTCATTGCTTCTCTGAATAACCCCCGGGACAAGTCGGGTCCTTCGGTAGTGTCTTATGTTGAGCAGACCGAGTCCTTGGAGCAATGCCCTTGTGCTCAGCAGATGTCTGCTCTGGAGATATCCTTTATATAGAACTTGTGTTTTATATATAATATGTATTCTATTATATATATTTGTGTAGTATTGGTGCGTGCCACTTTGGTGTTTTTATTTTTGATTGTGTAGTATGGGCTCATGCCGCTTTGCACATTAGAGGCACAGCAAACCACAGTACATTGCAAACTTTATTCCAGGTATAGAAGCAAAAACTTGCACAGCTCTTTGCGTATTCTACTTTCACCTCCGTCCCTGACCTCAACAACCTTGCAGTCCTTGTGAATTGCGGATCCCTATTTTGGACGATTTCATACACTTTAAAGCAGAAATAAAAGTCTCGATACCTGACAAACGGTCCTGCGGTGGAGCCAGAATCTTCTGAGTGTATCATTTCTGCTGCCGTGGTGTACTGGGGCCCAATCAGACTGACAATGTGATAAGAGCCTTGAAAAGAAATTCGCCTTGACTGGTTTCTTCACACCCTATTGAAAGCAAAAAAGAAATCTCCACTCAGTGGGGACACACAGCAAAAATTAAACTTTTTTTTTTTTTCCTTTATTGCTTCCTGTATTAATACAAAGTTTTGGTTATTGTATGCATTTAGGCCCTTAACCACTAGCCTACCGGGCACTTGTACCCCCTTCCTGCCTAGGCCAATTTTCAGCTTTCAGCGCTGTTGCACTTTGACATTTGCGCGGTCATGCAGCACTGTACCCATATGAAATTTTTTATAATTTTTTTGAGACTGACAGCTTTCTTTTTTTGGTGGTATTTAATCACCTCTGGGTTTTTTTATTTTTTGCTAAACAAACCAAAAAAAATTTTTTTTTTCTTAGTTTCTGTTATAAAATTTTGTAAAGTGATTTTTTGTAAAGTGATGAGCTTTCACTGATGTGAGCTAATGAGGCTGCAGTGATGGGCATTGACAGGCAGCAGTCATATATGGCACTGAGGCAGCTCTGAGCACTGGCAGGTGGCATTGATGGGCACTCAGGTGGCATTGATGGGGCTACACTGATCATCATGGCATTGATCCATCAGTGCCCTGATCAGTGTACATGTCTCCTCTGAGTAATACAGATTACCGGCTCTCCTCTTCTCACGAGCTGTCAGTGTGACAGCTCGTGAGGAGAGGCCTGCCGATAACCGGCATTTCCTTATTTACATGCGATCAGCTGTGATTGGATGCAACTGATCACATGACAGAGCCGACTTCTTCGGCTGCTTCCATTGATCGGTGATCTGCTGTGTCCAGGGACACAGCCGCACCACTGATTGCTGCACTGCCCACCCCTGGGGGCACACGGTTAGTGGGAGGACGTCATGATGTCCTAGAATGAGGAACCGCCTTGCGCCCATCATTTCCTTATATGGTGGGTGGGAGGCGGTTAAAGGATAAGTTCACCTTTTGGAACGTGTTACTTGCTCCACCTGTTTTTAGGGTGGAACATGTAACATGTTCCCATAGCTGCATCCGCTCCCCCCCCCCCCCCCCAACCAGTACGGGTACATTTCTCCCTGTACTATGTCAAATTAGAAAACAGCGGAGCTCTACCCACATGGCAGCCACATTCATTCACGGACTTCTCTGAATGAACTGCAAGTCCCGGCAGCCTTTGGCGGCTGTGGGTTTGTAGTTTTTAATGAACTACCACGGCGCTGTGGAGCTCTGTAGTTAATTGAGGCTTCCTGTCAGAATATCTGTTTGCTTGTACATCCCTTATGGCAAGCAAATACTCTGACAGGTCTGCAGGAGACCTGCATGGCATCAGCGATCTGTTGATTTCTGGTGCAATGCTTTCCAGGCTCCTATAGAGAAAAAATAAAAGTATTTATTTTTTTTTTTTAATCTGCAAAAGTGCATTTATTGGTTTTAAAAGGTGAACTTATCCTTTTGTACATGGCATGTTGATATTGTGAAGTATAGTATATGGTGTGATGTGCTAATCACACTTTCCAGCTAATTTACAATTAGAAGGAAGTTGTGAAGGGTTTACCAAGACTGTCTCATTCCTCGCTTGTTCTGGCATAGGACAGTAAGTTCCCGGTCATACGATTTGATAGTTTCAAATCCGTCTATTGTCTGCAATTGAAGCGGTCTTTTCGGTGCGATTTCCAACTTGGTCAGAGTCGCACAGATTTTGAAAGTAGTGCATGCGCTGCTTTTTGATAGTTCAGATGTGATTTGCATAGACGTGTCCTGCAAGTTGCAGATGTCTTGTGAGTCGCACCTGAAGTCTACTAACATCCGACTGTGAAATTGTGCAACTTCACTGGAAGCTGCACAATTGCAAAGTCTGGTGTGACCGCAGACTAAGGCTGGCCATACATTATACAATTTTCTAGATTTTTTTTTTTTTGCTTTATATTTACCAAAAACCATGTAATAGATCAAACCCAAACAACACCTTCAGTTTTATCCAATTAGGTAGGCCCTTGCACTACATAGTTGATGGTAAATCTAAAGGAAAATGGGCAGTAATTGGACAGAAAATTGTATAGTGTATGGCCAGTCTAAGGCCTAATTGGTATAGGTAATTTGCAGGCTGCTTTACTTCCAGTCTAGGCCCCACTAATGAGGAACTTTTGTGTCCTGTCAGTGACTGGCTAGGGGTCCTATCAGTGATTTGGCAATTTATTCCTGGGATACTGATGGCAATGATACTTTGTTAGTATGTGTGGTAAGCTGTGCATGAAGTCTATTATTCTGTGTATATTTAGCTGGGTTTGTAGCAAAGTCAGAAATCTTGGGAGAATGTTATAGAAGGTTGCTGCTCGCACGTTGTTCAAGGACAAGGTTCACAAGGTGACTTGCAAGTCTGTCATTGTATCATGTTTCCTTTTCTGCTTAAAGGGCATTGATGTTCATATGTACTTCAGCTGTGAAGATAAACTGTTTTTTTAATATTCATTAGGTCTCCAAAAGAGCCCTTGGTGCAGCTTTTGTTGCAACTAGGAATATCCATGCATCTGGATCATGGCTTCAGAAGACTGGTAAGTGTTTGTCATTTGTCTTTACTAGTGTGTGAAAGATAAGTGTTTAATGGGTGTACTTGTAGTCGTCAGTTGATAGTCACCATCTAGTTACTTCCGCTGTTCACCTTTTACGTATAATCTGCAACCTTAATGGTGTGGGCCCTCACTGGCCTCCTGTGAAGGTCAGAAAAGCTCATCTGTATCTGAATAACAGGTGTAAGTTGGTAGCAGCCTATAATTCAAGCTGATAAAAAATTTTATGGACCTGTGCATGTGAAAGCATTCAAAAATGTTTGCGAAAGCATTGCAGCTCTACACCAGCACTGTATAAATAGAATTTCCTATTCCTGGTGTATTTTGAGGTCCGATACTTAAAGCTTCACTCCGGAGAAATTATAATTCTTGCAGTGGGTGAAAATTGTCAGTGGTTGTGATTACGAACCTGGATACAGATTTGTTGCCTCCTCTGTGAGGATTTTTTTTTATTTTGCCTTTTATAAATGTCCAGTTGCTAGCTAGTTCGTAATTTAGAAAAGTCTCAGATCGTAGTTTAGTTTCAGTATGGTTTTAGACTTGTTGGCCTTTTTTTTTGCTTTACTGAGAGGCCACAATATCCTGCAGGTACTGCCGAAGTATCCTCCATCCTTGAAGAACGTATCCTGGGCGCAGACACCAGCGCTGAACTGGAGGAGACTGGCCGAGTGCTTTCCATTGGTGATGGTATTGCCCGTGTCTATGGTCTCAGGAACGTCCAGGCTGAAGAGATGGTGGAATTCTCTTCAGGGTTGAAGGTACATAATTGTCTTCCCCTCCCCCCTCCCTAAGGCCTGTGTAATGAGTATCTTCCTGCTTCAGAGCTTAGGGAGCACTTTTCACTTCAGATGTATAGAATAGGTGACCTCTAGCTGTTCCGCCTGTACCAGTGCTGGGGACCCACTTAGAAGGGGTGTGACAGCACTTGCATGAATAACTGTTATCCCAGCGCCACTTTAAAACTGCATGGGGCAAAAAGTGGTTAAGACTAATCTGACTGGATGTTCTATAATTTTAAAGTTATTGTAAACGTTCAGTTTTTATTTTCTAAAATGTCCCTTACCTGGTGTGTGCTATGGTTTGGCACAGAGCAGGCCCTGATCTGCCTCTGGGGTTCCCCTTCGGTGCTCCTGTCTCCACCTGCTTTCCAATTGACCTCCTAGCAAGCAACGCTCATGAGTGCTCGATCCCAAGTCCCACTGTGTGCGGCCATTGACACATGCACAGTGGGGCTCAGCTCTGCTCTGTGCTTACAGGATTTGATTGGCGGCAGGATGCCAATGGCTCCTTCTGCTGCTGATCCTCCTGTAGAGACTGGAGAGAAGAGCAATGCTGTTGCAGATGGGTCAGTGCTGGGTTGAGATCTAGCTGAGGTAAGGGGAGCTGACATTGAAAGGTGTGTGTGGGTTTTTTTTTTTTTAATGCACTAGCCACTTCTCACAGATTTACTCCCCCCCCCCCCCCCCCCCCCCGTGCCATTTTTTTTTGCTATACGGTTGTGTTTGATCACTACTGGGTTTATTTATTTGCACATAAAAAAAAAAAAAAATTGTGCGCTGCCCTATAATTGAGCAATGACTAGTTTGAACAAACCAAAATATTGAGCTTCTGCAAATGGTGTGCTTATCACATAAAAAAATAAATGCAAAACCAGTGTAAAGTGTTGTGTTGCTCAAAACTGCATCCACTCTAGTGAAAACTTAACCATAAACATAAGTCACTTGACAGTATATAGGTAGAAATTATTAGTCCCATAATGTCACCAGAAAATATTGGTGAAAACCGTTTTCCTATTGAGTGAGCCCACTATCACTCAATAAATCTGTAAATCTTTCAAACGTTGTGAATCACCGTAATTGACATGACTTTAAAGATGGACCCTCACCTTCAAATATTGGCCCGTACATAAAGACAGGTCAAGCGGGCATCTCCCTTCTTAGTGGGGGGTAAAATATATCTGCTCTTTTATGGATAGTGTATCCTCTAGGCTAGCCCTTTAACAGCAAAGCTGGCTTTATAGTTAAATCTCACGACCAGAGTGCAGCACTTTTTTTTAAAGTCTACAAATAGTTTATTTAAAATTGCACTCACATTTGACAGTAGTAAATCTCTTAAAAAAACAAAAACTGCAAAATATAGCTAAAATATAGCTGATGTGCAGAGTTGCTGACCATGCTACCAGTGTTTTGGCTCTGATGTCACCTGGCTCCTTCCCATGTGTATCATCACGTAACATTCCTCAGGGAATGTCAGACACGTGACTCATGACTATACGTGTGAGGAGGAGCCAGGTGATGTCGGAGCCAGAACACCGCTAGCATGGTTGTAGAGACAGCCAGCCCACATTGGCAGTAAAGCTACTTTGTGCGGTTGGCAAGCGGTTAACTTAAATCTTTTTTACCTTTACAACCACTTCCTCCTCCTTGTATATTTTTTCTTAATTGAGAATGAGTGATCCTGAGAACCCATTTATGGTTATCTATTGTTACATTGATGCAACCCATTGAAATGGTTCATTGGGTTAGTTTGAGGAGCCATTCAGAATGGCTCCAGGTTATGTCTGCATGCCTTTTTTTTGAGAGCATTTTCCTATGAAATTTATTCCATTTTTTTCCCACTAGGGTATGTCCTTGAACTTGGAGCCAGACAATGTTGGTGTTGTGGTGTTTGGTAACGACAAGCTCATCAAGGAGGGAGACATTGTGAAGAGAACTGGAGCCATTGTGGATGTACCTGTTGGTGTGGAACTGCTGGGACGTGTTGTAGATGCCCTTGGTAATGCCATCGATGGCAAGGTAATCCCATCTGTCTGCGTGTTGTGGTCTCTTAATTCATGTTTACCAACAATCCAAACCTGTGCCCTCAGTAGCTTTTTGCTTTATTCCAACAATTGAGTATTGCACACGAAAATTCAATGAAGTAAATCATGACCTTCAGAATAGTGTCTAGTTATCCTTAAACCCTTACATATACCCAGTGATGTGACTGGCCTCAGGCGATAGAGATTAAAACAAATCCCCCTACATAAGTTGTACCTGTTTATCTGCACTCTTCTCTACGTCTGTTTAAGTCAATTTTGTAAAGCTTGTGTGAGCTGCCAGAAAAAGGGGGTAGAGAGCTGATGTCACTCTGCAGATCTCAGTGAGGAAAACAGAGCTGATTGGAGGCAAGGGACAGAGCTAATGCGGTCAGTCTGCTGGAGCTCCCTCCCCGTCTCCTTTTGTCAGATGCGATTCATACAGATAAGAGGAAGAAAGCAGACAAATGACAGTGCTCCAGATTGAGACAAGTACACACTATACAGGGATATACTCTGTTCATATTTCATGTATGTGGTTTACCACTTTAGGTGCAGTTTTGCATTGTTATAAATCTGTGACCGTGTTTATCCAAATGAATTGGCTGAGCTTTGATAGGACATATCTGAAGACTGAATCATATCCTAATTCTATTCTTTATGTTCCCTTTCAATGGCTTCTGAAAACAAATACTAGTTTCTTATGTTAGCCATGCTAACTTAGCCAATTACCAGACAGCAGTTTTTCCCAAATAGACTTCCAGGACCGCCCATGAGATGTAGGCACCTCCTTGAACAGGACATGCATTTCCATGGGTTATGTTTCCTCTGAATGGAGGAGATGCATCAACTGGAAAATAAAAGGCAAGACAACCAGTGACCTTGGAGGTTGATGGCCCTTTTCCATAGTGACTACTCAGGTTTCTGGTGTCCAGGTACTCGGTGAAGCAACTAAGCTGGAGTTCCAGAACCTGTAGTTACTTGCTCTCTTGTGAAAGTGCCAGTTTAAAAGCTGCTGGCCTGGGAGTGTGTAATGACTTAACTTCTATAACATTGTTAAACCAGATTTATATATAAAAAAAAACTGCAGGTTAGTGTGTATATTTAACACTTAAGTGTATGTGAAAAGTGAGTTGACTTCTTTCCCATTCTCCTAAAGGGCCCACTTGGCTCAAAAATCCGTAGACGAGTGGGTCTGAAGGCCCCTGGCATTATCCCCCGTATTTCTGTGAGGGAGCCAATGCAGACTGGTATCAAGGCTGTGGACAGTTTGGTGCCTATTGGCCGTGGCCAGCGTGAGCTGATTATTGGTGACAGACAGACTGGGTAAGCATAAGTAAATACTGATGTCAAAATGGCGTTTCATTTAAGTACTTTACTGACTTGTCTGTCGCCCTGTCCCTGTACACAAAATGAGAATGTAGGGATTGATGCTGGTACAGGAAGTCGTGTGGTAATGGTTTTCAATCATTCAAACTCTTACCCCACTCTGTTCTGCCGAGGAAAGTAAGAGTAATATTCCCTGATGTGGACCCACGACCATAAATCTATAATAGAGCAAAGTATGCTTTGGTTGGATTTGGGATTTAATGCATCTGTCACAAGGAATCTAAGTCTGGGTGTAATTGATAGAAGATGATCCTCGCTCTTGCACTGCATAGAGCTTATTCAATGTAGCTTTACAATAAACTCACAACCAGGCTCCTGCCCAAAATATAATGCCCAGCCCTGCTGAAGTTTTTGCATCATGGCATTGTGATAGGCAAAACATGACTTTCTGGTAGTCAATATGCACAAGATAAGATGTTATGCTGTCATCTGTCCCAGTTTAAGAAGCTTGGGCTCCTTCAAGTTTGTAGCATTTTGGTGTTAGGTCTACTCAAAAAACCTTTTGTATATGTGGATATTGACAAGTTCATTCAGCTTTTCCTAGGATACTGGTGGGGGACGGGGGGGGGGGGGGACTGCTTGCTTGACCTATACCTTTCTGGCCCCCAATGTAAAAAGAAAAAGCACTAAATGTGTGGGGTTTTCTTTTTGCCATGATAGGGAACATGTTGTGGTTAAATACAGTATTCACTGTCCCTAAACAGATTCCAACCCTTACTTTCCACATCAAAGATGAGGACCACTTTCAGACTGAACTCTCCTTTTAGGCTACATTCATATCTAAGCAGCTCTGTACATGGGCTGCTGTACGTGCATTTCCTGCAAAAGTCAGTTTTACTTTTTTAAAACATGGCCACATGAAAACCACATGCTTTTCTATCATGCACCATGTTTTTCAGTATGCAGGGGTGCCATTAAGAGTTAACGGCACCCCTGCATGTTTTCGTAAGAGGTTCAACTTTTGGAACATGTTGCATGTTCCCCCCCATGTTTTTAGGGTCGAATATGTAACATGTTCCAGCTCCCACCAATTCCCCCCCCCCCCCCCCATCTCCCTCCTGAAGCAACAGTGCTGTCACAATTTAAAAACCGGCTGTGCCAAGACTCTGCCCACACAGCCACATCAATTTTTCCTTTAAATGCACGGACTACAACTGTTGGCCACCACAGCTGACTGCTTGTTCTGAATGAACTGCGGTGATGCTGATGAGCACATTCACAAGGCCTGCAGCATTTCAACACGGAGTGAAATGCGGTGAAAGCTGCAGGGCTTGTCTGCAGAAGCCTGACATTGCACCACTGATCATGGGTGCAATGCCTTCCAGGCTCCTGCAGGAAGAAAAATGAATGCTTTCTTTTTTTTCCCCCGAAGGTGAACTTGGCCTTTAAGGCAGTGCATTTTTTTTTTTTTTTTTTTTTTTGCGGCTGCAGAAATGTGTGCACTTTACATGCACACCCACGGATGTGAACCTAGCTTTAGTGTGGCAGTACGTACAATATGAGCGTTAATCTGCAATGTTTAGTAAGGGTTGCAATGTGGTGAGCTTCTCTGAAGGAGTGGGAGTTGGTGCTTAGTAATGCATACAGGTAGCTTCCAGTTTCTTAGACTGATTTTCCTTTTGTGCCAATTTGTTCACAGCAAAACTGCCATTGCTATTGATACAATCATCAACCAGAAAAGGTTTAACGATGGAACTGATGAGAAGAAGAAACTATACTGTATCTACGTGGCTATTGGTCAGAAGAGATCCACTGTGGCCCAGCTGGTCAAGAGGTTGACTGATGCAGGTAGAATTCAAGATATATAAATATACAAGCTACAAAAAAAAAAAAAACTTTTCCTCCCTCTCCCATAGCAATTGGGTAGTGCCAGGGCTCTTCATTTGGTAATGAAGATGACATTTCTAGTATTAACCACTTGCTTTCCAGAGGATTTACCCCCTTCCTGACCAGGTAACCTTTTGCAATATGGAACTGCATTACTTTGACAATTGCACAATCATGCAGTGCTGTACATACATGAAATTCATGTGTGGTGTTTGTTTGGTATTTGATCACCTGTGCATTTTTATTTTTTTGCACTATAAACAAAAATACCAACAATTTTTTGAAAGTTTTAGATTTTACTTTTTGCTATAAAACATCCAGTAAATTAAATTTAGGCCAAAATGTTTTTTCGGTTACATGTCTTTGCCTAAAAAAAAAAAATCCCTATACGTGTAAATTGATTTACGTGAAAGTTATAGCCTTCACAAATGGCGTTGCATATTTTTACAAGTAATGGCAATCAGCGACTTATAGCGGGACTGCGGCAGGCATTCTGACACTGGTGGGGAACTGTCTTGGTGTGTCACTGACTTCCCCAGTGACACCAATAGTGATGAGTGCAAAAAACACACTGGGCAGGAAGGGGTGATCAAAGGGATTAACTGTGTTGTTTTTTTTTTTTTTTTTTTTTTTTTTTTTTAATTTTATTATACTATGTGCTGTTCCCCTCCCCATCGGAGATGCTTGGCAATCCCCGGAATCCGGTGATTGACAGCTGTGGCTGCCAATGGTGGCATGGGTAGGGCATGTGCCCCCTACCCAGAAATGCAAGATTATGTATGTAATTTTGTGCACCCGTGCTGCCCTCTAGCAGTAGTTCTGCTATAGGGCAGCAGTTAAAATCATTTAAGGCCTGAAGAGTACACCAGTCCAAAACATGTTCTGAAATCAGAGACCCTAGAGCAGTGATGGCAAACCCGTGGCACGCGTGCCACAGCCGGCACGCCGAGCCTTATCTGTGGGCACGCCAGGAGAATCCAGCGGCGTGCTGTCTTCCCGGCTGTAGTGTGCGTGACAGCCGGGTCCCAAGTGCGCATGCACAAGAAGCAGTGCTCTTTGTGAATGGTAAGGCGGTACCTGGGACACATGACAGATCCCAGAAGCCGCCGGACCAATCACAAAGCGCAGCGCTTCTCGCGCATGCGCACTGGGCATCCGGCTGTCCGACGAGCGCCCACACTACAGAAGCCGGGAAGACAGCGCGCGGCTGGATCGAGGAACAGGTAAGATAAAAAAAAAAAACTCTGCGGAAGTAAGAGCGGGTACCTGTCAAATTCAGGTACCCGCTCCCCCTCCCTCCCCAAAGGTCAGCAGTCATCTCTGTACTGTCCGCAGTCTCTGGTCATCCCTGTGCTGTCTGCAGTCTCTGGTCATCCCTGTGCTGTCCGCAGTCTCTGGTCATCCCTGTGCTGTCCGCAGTCTCTGGTCATCCCTGTGCTGTCCGCAGTCTCTGGTCATCCCTGTGCTGTCCGCAGTCTCTGGTCATCCCTGTGCTGTCCGCAGTCTCTGGTCATCCCTGTGCTGTCCGCAGTCTCTGGTCATCCCTGTGCTGTCCGCAGTCTCTGGTCATCCCTGTGCTGTCCGCAGTCTCTGGTCATCCCTGTGCTGTCCGCAGTCTCTGGTCATCCCTGTGCTGTCCGCAGTCTCTGGTCATCCCTGTGCTGTCCGCAGTCTCTGGTCATCCCTGTGCTGTCCGCAGTCTCTGGTCATCCCTGTGCTGTCCGCAGTCTCTGGTCATCCCTGTGCTGTCCGCAGTCTCTGGTCATCCCTGTGCTGTCCGCAGTCTCTGGTCATCCCTGTGCTGTCCGCAGTCTCTGGTCATCCCTGTGCTGTCCGCAGTCTCTGGTCATCCCTGTGCTGTCCGCAGTCTCTGGTCATCCCTGTGCTGTCCGCAGTCTCTGGTCATCCCTGTGCTGTCCGCAGTCTCTGGTCATCCCTGTGCTGTCCGCAGTCTCTGGTCATCCCTGTGCTGTCCGCAGTCTCTGGTCATCCCTGTGCTGTCCGCAGTCTCTGGTCATCCCTGTGCTGTCCGCAGTCTCTGGTCATCCCTGTGCTGTCCGCAGTCTCTGGTCATCCCTGTGCTGTCCGCAGTCTCTGGTCATCCCTGTGCTGTCCGCAGTCTCTGGTCATCCCTGTGCTGTCCGCAGTCTCTGGTCATCCCTGTGCTGTCCGCAGTCTCTGGTCATCCCTGTGCTGTCCGCAGTCTCTGGTCATCCCTGTGCTGTCCGCAGTCTCTGGTCATCCCTGTGCTGTCCGCAGTCTCTGGTCATCCCTGTGCTGTCCGCAGTCTCTGGTCATCCCTGTGCTGTCCGCAGTCTCTGGTCATCCCTGTGCTGTCCGCAGTCTCTGGTCATCCCTGTGCTGTCCGCAGTCTCTGGTCATCCCTGTGCTGTCCGCAGTCCTCTGGTCATCCCTGTGCTGTCCGCAGTCTCTGGTCATCCCTGTGCTGTCCGCAGTCTCTGGTCATCCCTGTGCTGTCCGCAGTCTCTGGTCATCCCTGTGCTGTCCGCAGTCTCTGGTCATCCCTGTGCTGTCCGCAGTCTCTGGTCATCCCTGTGCTGTCCGCAGTCTCTGGTCATCCCTGTGCTGTCCGCAGTCTCTGGTCATCCCTGTGCTGTCCGCAGTCTCTGGTCATCCCTGTGCTGTCCGCAGTCTCTGGTCATCCCTGTGCTGTCCGCAGTCTCTGGTCATCCCTGTGCTGTCCGCAGTCTCTGGTCATCCCTGTGCTGTCCGCAGTCTCTGGTCATCCCTGTGCTGTCCGCAGTCTCTGGTCATCCCTGTGCTGTCCGCAGTCTCTGGTCATCCCCTGTACTGTCCGCAGTCTCTGGTCATCCCCTGTACTGTCCCTGCAGTCTCTGGTCATCCCCTGTACTGTGTCTGCAGTCTCTGGTCATCCCCTGTACTGTGTCTGCAGTCTCTGGTCATCCCCTGTACTGTGTCTGCAGTCTCTGGTCATCCCCTGTACTGTGTCTGCAGTCTCTGGTCATCCCCTGTACTGTGTCTGCAGTCTCTGGTCATCCCCTGTACTGTTAATTAGTTTGCACTACTGTACGAGTTTTTTCTAAACCAAAAGCTCGATATTCAGGTTTCATTGCAGTGTTGGCACTTTGAAAGAAATAAGTTGGTTTTGGGTTGCAGTTTGGGCACTCGGGCTCAAAAAGGTTCGCCATCACTGCCCTAGAGAATGTGGTAGTTCCTTTTTTTTTTTTTTTTTTTTTTTTTTTTTTTTTTTTTTTTTGGGGGACACCTTATCTCAAAGGTTTTTCACAAGAAAATGCACTTAAAGTTCATTTTAGGGCACAAAAAGCAATACATTATCCAATTTTTTTTTTTGAAAATAAGACTAGGCTGCATCAAGTAAATAGATATCCAACATGGCAAACCTTAGTTTGCATGTGCTCATGAAATTGCAACAAACTTTAGTACCCTATATTTTCTATAGGTGCCGCTTTTTAAAGCACCTCTTTTATAGGTCATCAATTTAGCATTAGAGGAGGTCTGGCAACATAATGGGCTGTGTGGAAGCAATCGGGCATTAGTGCTGCCGCTCAAATGCTTCCACCTGACAGGTGAGTCCTGCTGCTTGCCCACAGCAGGGCTAAGGGCCAGTTAACACTGCTTCAGTTGTGGTTTTTTTTTTTTTTTTTTTTTTTTTTTTTGTTCCATCAACGCATAAAGTAGGTTATATGGTTGTCTGTCATAGTTCTCATCAGTGTTTGCAATTCCAGGGCGTTCTGGTTGCAGAAAAGTAGAACAACCTGCATTTTTCTGCACAGAACTGTACTGGAACGCACATGTCCCTATTTAAATTGAAGAAAGGGGGGGTGGGGAATGAACGAATGCATAAACACACTAGAATGCATCAAACTTGCCCAGAATGCATCTGGATTGCATTTCTATAGTGAACCAGCCCTAAAGGTAAAAAAACAAACTACATGTCCCGGGTTTCAGGCAATATGAAGTGAACATCCCTGAGAAGATATTGTGCATGCCAAAGTATTAAACCTTTCAGTGTAACAAGCGTTAAGCGAAAGTGCCCATAATTTCCTACTTTCAGGTCCAGGGGTGGCTGCATGTGAGATGGTTGAAAGCAAGGTAATCTGCCCTTTACTAATTTTTAACTGTTTTGACCTTTTTAGATGCCATGAAATACACAATTGTGGTGTCTGCCACTGCCTCTGACGCTGCTCCCCTGCAGTACCTGGCTCCATACTCCGGCTGCTCTATGGGAGAATACTTCAGAGACAACGGGAAACATGCTCTGATCATCTATGACGATTTATCCAAACAGGTATGCGTTATCACACTCTTGAAGAACCCGGTTTATCCAATAACAAAGAGCTATGTACTTGGGCAACTGGTTATGTCTTCATTAATTGCTAAACTGGATGCCAAAAGATCATACACAGCTTCTTTAAAACATTATTATGGGGGTTTTTTTTTTTGCTTTTTACAAGCAAACTGAGTATAGCATGCAATGGGGTAGTTAAAAATTTCAGATGTAAAAGCATTGACAAAATGCAAAATGAAATGAAGAACTGAAACTAGTAGGAGAGTATATTTCAGATACAGCGAGAAGCAATGAATCATTTATATCCTCAATTTGTATTAAGTCTGACAGGTAAAAATGTGAGTGAGGTCATAGTTACAGGCGATAAACATCTTGGGGCGGAGCGATGGAGCATTAAGGCTTAGGTTGACAAGGTATAGATAATATATTCATGCGTCCACATCACTCATCCCAAATTTTGATCTTTATCAGGACACCCTCTGTGAATGTAGATAACATTCTTGTAGGGTCGTGTACTGTTGGCTGGCCACCCAATCATGCACAGTTGGTGGTAGTGCCCTCAGCCAAGCTTGAGCGATTAACATTCTAGTGATAGGGATTCATGCAGGAAAATATATTTACCACGATCTGGGTCAGGAAAAAGGCCTGCCTTTAATTTTGAAGAAATGTTTATACTATTAATGTGAAATTTGTAATTTTTATTCAGAACTGGATTGTATACTTACCTAATCAGACATGAAATGTGTTAAGTCTGACGGTAGCTGGGATCAGGATGATGTGCCCCCCTCCTGAGCCTGGACATTGCAAAAAGCCGCAGCTCTCAATTTGGTATCCCTGGTTCCCTTTAGCTGATCACCTTTTTGAGATGACTATATTGCAGTACACCTGGGTGTCATGTAAAGTAGTAATTCAGTAGCTTATGGCAAGTTTGCTTATGGGTGGATACTAGTTAGCTGGTTTGACTTAGAATTGTTGCAGCAGTGTTTCATTCTCCATTGTGTTGGATAGTCACCCCACACAATGGGAAATGAGTCTGCTGCAGAACTGAAGCAGTTGGTGAAATGTGGCTTTGCTATTGACTTGTTTGGCACATTGGGTAAGATCAATACCTGCAATTGATATATTTGATATTGGTCATGTAATGTATCCTGTTTCTGCAGGCTGTGGCCTACCGTCAAATGTCTCTGTTGCTGCGTCGTCCTCCTGGCCGTGAGGCTTACCCTGGTGATGTGTTCTACCTCCATTCCCGTCTGCTGGAGAGAGCTGCCAAGATGAACGACCAGTTTGGAGGGGGCTCTTTGACTGCTCTCCCCGTCATTGAGACACAGGCCGGTGACGTGTCTGCTTACATCCCAACAAATGTCATCTCCATCACTGATGGACAGGTTGGTGGCTGCTTATACTGATTTTAAGAACCTTAGTTGTCAATTTTATTTCTGCTTCAACATTTCCACTCATCCCATTTTTGTAGATCTTCTTGGAGACTGAGCTGTTTTACAAGGGTATCCGGCCTGCCATCAACGTCGGTCTATCGGTGTCCCGTGTAGGTTCTGCTGCCCAGACCAGAGCCATGAAACAGGCAAGTTACCTGCATGTGTCTTTTGTTAGAGTTTATTTTATTCGCATGATGTGATCCAAACTCCTTTTCTGTGGAGCCGATTCACACGTGTGGACTAGCTACAGTATTTAAAAAAAAAAAAAAAATAAAAATTCTGGTGTGAAGAATTATGCTGCTAAATGGGGGGGGGGGGGGGGGACAAAATTTTCCCATCTCACTTATCCTCCCTTTTACAGTGGAAAATAACTAAACAATTTACAAATTTCTATTTTATGTACATTATCAACTTTTTGTGCAGCAGCAACCTCCTAGGTACTGTTCAGAGAGGTACAGTTTTCCTTCACTGTAAATCTCCCATTTTAGAAAGGACCTGAAAGCTCTCAATGGGGTTCTGCAGCTGCCAATGGTGGCCCAGGTAGGGCATGTGCCTTCTACCCAGAAATGCAATGTTTTGTGCACCCGTGCTGCCCTGTAGCAGTATTTCTGCTATAGGGCAGCAGGGAAGCAGGTAAAATCATTTTAAGGCCTGAAGATGACACCACTCCAAAACGTGATGTTCTGAAATCAGACTTTTTTTTTTTGTTTTTCGTGACCCTGTTGACTATTTGCAACAAAACTTTTGATTCTGTGATTACACCCCAATATCTTAGCAATTCTAAGAGTGCTGCATCCCTTTGGGACTTACAATTTGACTCTTCAGAGTAGGTTAAAATTCTTTCGGCCCATTTTGCCTGTGGAAAAGAATATGCCTAATTATGAACACCTTGATATAGGATGTTTATCTCCTTAGGCCACACCTTCCCTCATTGCACAATGATAAATCGCCTGATATTCTTAAATCCTATAAGCATTCAAGTTTATAGAGCTTGGAGTTTGACAATATGCATTGGTCAAAATACTGCCTAATTATGCACACAGTGTGAACCCAGGCCTAAGGTTAGGTTTAGCTTTAGTAACTTGTTACACCCATATTTGGGATGTAACCTGTTACTGTGCAGCAGCTTCTTACCCCGTGAGCCCCCTATGACTAGGTAGGGGCTCCTCTCCCCTATCTCTACTGTCACAATTTAAAATTGGCATGGCTGTGCAGAGCTTTGCCTTTACAGCCCTATCATTTGTTCATAAATCTGTGAATGAGCTTAGTCCTGTCTGCCACTGGCAGACTTTTAGTTTCAGTGGAGTGTGAGCGTGCTAATCTGCACACATCTATTCACTTTTCCTGCAGCTCTGAAACTGACCGCCCTTACAGAGGTTCAGGCACAGAACTGCAGGAAGAGTCCATAGGAGCCTGACATTGCACCTGCAATCCACTTGGATAGAGATTTATTTTTTTTTCTCTCCCATCTCTAGGTGGCCGGTACCATGAAGCTAGAGCTGGCTCAGTACCGTGAGGTTGCAGCTTTTGCCCAGTTTGGCTCTGATTTGGATGCTGCCACTCAGCAGCTGTTGAACCGTGGTGTGCGTCTGACTGAGCTGCTGAAGCAAGGGCAATATGGTAAGCTGACTTGGCCTCTGCTCTTCTGTCTAAAGAAAATGTTTTGTTTCTAACAGTAGGGTGCTTTTTGTGGTTTTTTTTTTTTTTTTACCTTTTCTGCACATGTGCAATCTCTGCTGTTTTGCAGTTCCCATGGCCATTGAAGAACAGGTAGCAGTTATCTATGCTGGTGTAAGAGGTCATCTGGACAAGATGGAGCCAAGCAAGATCACAAGATTTGAGCAGTCTTTCCTGGCTCATGTTAAAAGCCAACACCAAGACTTACTAGCAACCATTAGGTAAAGATTGCTCATTTTTATTTGTTGTGTTCGAGTTGTCAGATTTTCAAAATCTGGTACCATACTCCCCAGAATGAGGACTTCATGACCCAAAAACTCCCTTTTTTGCACTAGTGGCATCTGAATTGGGCTCAACTCAATGTAGTTTCCACGAATTGCTCTGACATGCATTATAGGTCACCTTGTCAACAGATGCTTCTGAAGAGTATTCACCTCTTTCCACCAATGCCTCCAGGCCCTTTAAGAGCTAGATGCTGTGAGGTGTGCTTTGGGGTCATGTGACCACTGATTGGTTGTCATAGTGGTCACATAATTGCTAAGCTCCTGATGCATACATGCCATCGGAAGCTTTCTGATCTCTGCTAAGGGAGCACACTCTCAGCACGTCAAGTTTTTCATACAGGGCTGCGTTTATGGGCCCGCTCAGTATTGAGTCGCCTGCCGAGAAGCTACATACAGTCAGGTGCATAAATATTGGGACATCGACACAATTCTAACATTTTAGCTCTATACACCACCATAGATTTGAAATGAAACGAACAAGATGTGCTTTAACTGCAGACTGTCCGCTTTAATTTGAGGGTATTTACATCCAAATCAGGTGAACGATGTAGGAATTACAACAGTTTGCATATGTGCCTCCCACTTGTTAAGGGACCAAAAGTAATGGGACAGAATCCTAAATCAAACTTTCACTTTTTAATACTTGGTTGCAAATCCTTTGCAGTCAATTACAGCCTGAAGTCTGGAACGCATAGACATCACCAGACGCTGGGTTTCATCCCTGCAAATAGCACACTTGAAATGAACTCTGGACCTTTTATCTGCTCATTGTAATTGGGATAATGAGGGAATAACACACACCTGGCCATGGAACAGCTGAGAAGCCAATTGTCCCATTACTTTTTGGTCCCTTAACAAGTGGGAGGAACATATGCAAACTGTTGTAATTCCTACACCGTTCACCTGATTTGGATGTAAAGACCCTCAAATTTAAGCAGACAGTCTGCAGTTAAAGCACATCTTGTTAGTTTCATTTTAAATCCATTGTGGTGGTGTATAGAGCCAAAAATGTTAGAATTGTGTCGATGTCCCAATAGTTATGGACTTGGCTGTATATGCATATGGCCGGCATGACGTGGTTAAAATCTTCACCTTCCCCTTTTAACATGTGAAAACAAATGGCAGGGCTAATAACGAATTCAGCTCCACTGATGCAGAAACTGGCTTCTGTATTTTCTGCTTTGTGCAAGCTACTGAGGTTGGTAGTGTTGCATTTTGTGATTGTATATCGCCTATCTCATTTTTAGCCTTATGTTTTTTGCAGAGCATGGTCAATAAGGGGGCATCCTATATGTATCCCAGCTTTGTATATGGGGCTGCATGATCTCTGTATGTTGTGGGTGGGAAGTTAAAAATCTGAACTGAAGAAACTGCTGTCTTCCAGTTGGCATTAAGGAAGTCTTGTTTTAGAAGTAGTGTTGTTTTTTTTTTTTTTTTTTTTTTTATCCCTTTTTTTTTTTTTATGTTTAGCCTAAATCCATATATGAGAAGTCTAATGGCCTAGTCATGCAGCTTTATTTATGGTCTTACAAAATCTCTTTAGGCTTCTACCACTATATAAAGGCTAACCATGTCCTTTTTTTTTTTTTTTTTTTTTTTTTTTTTTTTGTTAGGGACCGATGGAAAGATCTCTGAACAGGCAGAAGCCAAGCTGAAAGAAATTGTAATAAATTTCCTGTCCTCATTTGAGTAAAACTCCCACCTATCTTCCCAGTTGGCGTGTGGATGTCGCTGTCGCTGTCCTTTTTGTTCCTGGATCCATTTTCACGAAACCTATTGAAGCACTTGAGCTTTTAATGTACAGACATTTCTCAATTGGAGAGTAAAAAGTTCCTGAAAACTTTGTGGCCTCTATTTACTGGTGTTTCTGTGCTTGTTTATTTAGACAACCCCACTAATCTTTGTGCAAAGCAGATTACATTGCATTCAGCGTCATGGGGCCGTGTCACTTGAGCAGGCCAAAATGGCTGCAGCAACAGGATTGCTCAAAGAGGGTAAACGTCCCCTGTTCTATGGCACAGCTCACTTGGCTGAAAGACTACTGTAGGTGAGTTCTGCACTTTACCAGCAAGGGAGAAAAGTCTGTAGAAACAGGTGAGTGGGGTTTTCACTGTCAATCCTGTTGCTGGTAAGCTTCAGGACTGCTAGTGTGGCATGAGCCTGAAAGACTGAAAAGCCCAGTCCTGGGCATGAATTCACAGGTTTACAGCAGAGAAATATCCTTTCTTAGGCTCCATTCACACTTGTGTAGGATGTAAAGTCATGTGACTTCGGGGGTGCAGCTTTGGCACAACTTTAGCTGGGTGCGACTTGGATGTGACTTGTTGTCACTCTGCAACATTTGACCCACTGTTGCATATAAAACCTTCAGGTTGGACTTTAATGCAACTTCAATGAAATTGCATGACCGGGTGCACTGGTGTGACTGTGAACTACCCATGTGAAACTGGCCTCAAAACAAACACCCGGGCAGACTGGATGCAGCTGGAGTTGCAATGTAATGCTTGGGTTTGTTTGTGCTGCATGCGTTTTTTTTTTTTTTTTTTTTTTTTTTTTTTTTTTTTAAATTTGCTCTTGCATGCATTTTAAAATGAGGTTCAGGTTGAAGTTTCTGTTCATTGGTAGACTGTCATTTACTGTCCTTGTGACAGCCATTGATGTTGGGGTTATGGTTGTCACCATGGCAAAACATCCATTTCTAACAATTCCCCACTTCTGAACTTTGTTGGAGGTTTTCCAGAGTCAGAGTTGTTTATCACTTCCTCACACAACAGGAAGTTGGGGCATTTTGCTAAATGGGTAGGCTGTAAGCCACCCCCATACCATCTTTAAGGTGAAACTTCTATGAAATGTGCCACTGGTCTGCCTCTTGAAATGTCTTTCCAGTTCTGCTCAGGCTACCAGTACCAGCAGTGTGTGGTCTAAACCACTTTCTGATGTCTGGCTGTTCGAAACCTGTCTTTTGGATTGCCAGGCTGAGAAGTATTATCCAGTGATTGCTAGGCCAAGTGCCTGCAGGAGCTGTTGTGTGCTCCTACCTGTGTGCTTCCACTAATCATTGGAAGAATGAATGGTCCTCTTGTGCAAGATCTTCAACTTAGAGCAGAACTTTTTGGGTGGAGTTCTGCTTTTAAGGCCTCTTTGCCACGTATTTAAAAAAAAAAAATAAATGTACTTGCTCTCATTTCTCTTGGATTGCCTAGGATGAGGGTGTCAAACTGATGGCCCTCCAGCTGTTGCAGAACTGCAAGTCCCATCATGTCTCTGCCTACTGGAATCATGCTTGTAGCTGTTGGCTTTGCAATGTCTCATGGGACTTGTAGTCTCACAATAGCTGGAAGGCTGCCAGTTACACACTGGTGACTTGAGAGGGACGTTCTCCTGCCCCCTCTCCCTGCTGCCTTCTAGGAAATGGCATAGTTCCCAGATGATTGCAGGCCCAATTGCAATGCATGGTTCATGCATGTGTAGTAAGCAACAAGCTGTCACAGCCGGGTGCCCACAGTTAAGATGGTCCTTGGTGCCCCCTTGGGTGAGCACAGCACTGGATTGGAGGACAGGTAAGTGTCAACAGCTACAGTTTTGTAGCTGTTGACTTTTAATTTTTGCAGAAATGACTGGAGCTACAGCTAGTGATCACAAGTATTTGAAAATCTTTTGCGCAGCTTTCTTTAAAGCACTTTGGGCATGTTGGGGTAAAGTGGAGTGGAAATCTAGAACCATTAATTCCTCTTGTTTAGAAGTCTTTGACCAGATAAACACCATCATAAAAGCACTGTCCACAAAGTGGAAATAACTTGATCCTACTGTCCTGTTGTACTCCTGTGTTGTCTTTTATCAGGGTTACACAATGCTATCCTATGATTTTATGAAAGAGGGACATCTATTCTGTAACATGAGCATCTTCTGTCCTAGGATGCCAATAGGATACTGTACAGTGAGTATTCTCCATGGACAGGCAGGGTGTTGCTGGCTAGATCACCAGTTGAAAATAAAGTCTGGATAAAATATATATTTTCTCCCTCTAATGTGTGGTAAGCTGCAATCGCAACTGTTTTTGCTTGAGTATACTTTAATGGGGGGGTAAAATGGAATTTAACAACTATGGAAACATTACTTGATTGTCAGGTGTGAACTTGTGTAAGTTTTGCATTAAAAGTGGATGTAGTTTAACATTCATTTGCTTCTGCTGTGTGATGAGACACCTAGCTAACAGGTGCAAAGCCTCACTTTCATCATTTACTACGTGTGCTGCTACTAAATCCATGTCAGCTTACTGAGCTTCAATGAGGGCAAATTGTTGGTGGCTGCTTAGCTGGTGCTGTGCCTCAAGTTGCTAATTTATTTACCATGTTGCAAAATACAGTACTAAAGGGTATGAGGGCATTTACAGGGGGCTGGGAAAATATCTAATATGTACAAGGGCAGTTGCTGTGAACTGCTTGCGACAAAAAAAAAAAAAATTGTGTGGGATTGTCACCTGGCATAAAACTGCTGCAAAAGTGACTTTAGAGCTTAATCTTGGTCTTCTAATGTCTATATCAAGACTTTTTCTATAAGCAAAACATTCATGGGTGATCTGCAATTGCCATACCACTAATGACTGATATTAGTCCACTATTTAGGAGTGTTGCACCACCCTCCTCCTCTTTTGAGCATTATTGATCAGTGGAGACTTTATAGGGTTTGATGAATCGAGCTTCACCCTGTTCCCAACCACCAGATGTCTGTGTGTGGTGAACCAGGACTGTCTTTTAACCAAAGGTAAAGCATGGTGCAGGTGCAATCGTGGTTTGGGCAGCCATATCTTGGTAGTATGCAGGCCTCATTACTACCTTTTGAAAGGTAGTCACTACCAGCATCCCTGTACAAATTCTGGCTGACCATGTGCAGCCCATGGTGCAGATATACACTACTTAAAAAGGAACACTTTTTAATCAGAGTATAACAAAGTAAAACTGCTGGGATATTGATCTGGTCAGTTAAGTAGTAGAGGGGGTTGTTAATTTCTTTAACACCATAGCAGCGGAAGTTGATTAAGAGGTGCACTTGATGGGCAATAATGAGATGATTCCCCCTGCCCCCCCAAAACAGGAATGGTTTTACAAGTTGTGGTCAATTACATTTTTTCCCTACGCATCTTTTTACTTTTTTTTTTCCCTTCTAGTTTTGCATTTGGCTAGGGTCTGTTGCTACTGGTAGCATGAGGTGATACCTGGCCCCTCCAGTGCTGGCACAGGCAGTCCAACTTCTTCAGGATGACACCTCAATAAGTGCCATTGCCAGAAGGTTTGCTGTGGCTCCCACTACAGTCTCAAGAGCATGGAGGAGATTCCAGAAGCCAGGCAATTACTCTAGGAGAGCTGGACAGGGCCATTGAAGGTCCTTAACCCATCAGCAGGATCGGTATCTGCTCCTTTGTGCAAGGAGGAACAGGATAAGCACTGCCAGAGCCCTACAAAAATGACCTCCAGCAGGTCACTGGTGTGAATATCTCTGACCAAACAATCAGAAACCAACTTCATGATGGTGGCCTGAGGTCCTTTAGTAGGCCCTGTGCTCACTGCCTGGCATACAGTTCAAATGGCATTTGCCATTGAACATCAGAATTTTCAGGTCCACCACTGGCACCCTGTGCTTTTCACAGATGAGAGCAGGTTCCCCCTGAGCACACGTGACAGATGTGAATGGGTCTGGAGAAGCCGTGGAGAACATTCTGCTGCCTGTAGCATTGTTCAGCATGACCGTTTTGGTGGGGGTCAGTGATGGTCTGGGGAGGCATATCCATGGAGGGATGCACAGACCTCTACAGGCTAGACAATGGCACCCTGACTGCCATTAGGTATCGGGATGAAATCCTTGGACCCTTTGTCAGACCCTACACTGGTGCAGGGGGTCCTGGGTTCTTGGTGCACCACAAAACCCAGCCTCCTGTGGTGAGAGTATGCAGGCAGTTCCTGGAGGATGAAGGAATTGAATCTAATAGAACACCTCTGGGATGGCATGTTATGGTCCATCCGACGCCACCAGGTTGTACCTCAAATAATAATGAAATAAATGTAGTGAGCGCTTCCTAGTATAGCAGCTAGCACCTCAAGGTAACCAAATAAAACCTTCAAATACAAAGCATATAATAAAGTGCAGTGCTAAAAGATGAGTCATTTAAATATGAGTAGGTCCGTGGGTCTATGTGGTAATAACATTCAAGTGAGCCAGAAGATCAAAGTAATGGTGCTCTGGAAAACCGGTAAAAATGTGCATAGGATAAGCGCATATATGAATCCACCTCTTGAAGAGGTACGGTAGGAGTCCTCCTTCTAGGGAATGGGCAGCACAGCGGTATGTAGGTGAGGATATGTCTCCAGAGGTCTCCTTTAGGGTAGATTGGGTCTGCAACCTGTTTAAAGGGATTCCCTTTCTCTGGGTACTGTGTCCTTCAGCAAGGAACTTCCACTGGCTCTGCAACTCAATAGCTCCATAAAGAAGCCATAGAAAAAATGCCCATAGTGTAGCATGTTCCCAGTGTTCTTTATTGACAATGTAATGGGTTAAAAGTGAAATAAAATGAAAATAAAGAGGGGTGACTGACCCTACTTTAAGATGGCCGTCGGACCAGCTCGTGGCTCCGGCGGCGTGACATCACAGCGTGTTGAGCCTCCTGCTGAGCCATTGGGAACATACTACACTATGGGC